ACATCTAGAAAAGTTTTAAGCCAAATATTCGTGATCGCAGTCATCTGCTCTATCGAATGATCTACTAAAAAACAAAAAAGAAATTTTGCTCGAGTTTTGTGTTTTTTTTGTATCTGAAGAAAATACAGAAAAAACAACAATCATTCAAACTGTCGGTACCAATGCGGAGAGCACACGTAGTCACGAGTTTAATTCATCAGTTTCTCACCTTCTGTGTCCCATAACGATAGGATTCATCCCAGAAAGCGTACTCATATTCACACACTTGCCTAAAGAGTTGTTTTAACTTGTTTCTTTGTTCAAATGAAAAATCATGGACTACACGATTCGTAAGTTCAAGAAAGTAGATAAGTCGATCGCGCCTGGCTTGATCACGATAATAATCAATGATATCAGCATAGCGTTTGACTGTCGGTTGTACACCACTTGCGATCATCCAGTCACCAACTTTAGCGTAGACAAGAGTGCAAGGCAAAAGAGTAACAAGACCCCTTACCCATGCAAAGTCATCGTTACATGTAACCGGCGTGAGCATAAATTTCGTATAATTTGCACACGCAGGCATTTTTGCTGTAGTTTTCTCATCATATGGGGGCAAGTTATTGTCGCTGAGAATCGTTGTAACATACTTATCATTTTTATCAAGGAGTGTACTAAAAAATCGATGAACTTCCTCGTTTGAGCATCGGTCAACGAGACCCTTGAGCATACGCCCTCGATCAAGTAAGAAAAGATAATCTTGGGCGATGTAATAATTATAAATACGTTCGTCCAAAGTACTATGGAGCATCTCTTTGAGAAATGGAAGTTCTATAGTTCTGGTGTAGATGTCATCAACTGATGACCAAAGTTCTTGGGTAAATGTTAGTGATGGTATGTGAAGAAAAGATGAACGGAGCAATGCATCAACTGTTGTATATAAATGACCATATAAAATCGCAAAATCTAACGGAATGTGGCCATGGGCTAGATAGGCAGCTATAGCAATGGAGAAATCTTCTGATTTCGAAGGACTACCATGATTGGGCAACCAAAAGCATCGTTTTGTCAAAAGCGCTTCGTTATCAATCATAGCCATACACCGCCGTCCATTCTCATCTTGAACGATAACGACTCTTGGACCTGATTCGAGGAGACAGCGCGCTGTGCCTTCAATAGATTGCTGACCACTGGTTACGATATGATGAGCGATAGTGTAACTGGCGATAAGCACAGATGAGAGGGGCAAAATTGAATCGATCATCGACTGGAGAACTTTGTCGGTCCACCGCTCGTTCATCAAATCGATAATGATTGGACAACCATTTTCTTTCATAGAACAAAGAAAGTTATGAACCTGATTGACACTCTCTACATCATTCATTAGACCAATCTTAACACTATCGATTGATAAGTGATCGCAGGAGTGGGGCAAAGACGAAAGGGGTGCCGAAAATTGGATGCTTTCTTGTTGATTGACATGAACATCAGTAATTATTGAATGAGTGACACAGCCAAGATTCCGACTAGTGATGGCATCAGCGTCAAGACTTTTAGCATGACATACCAGATCTTGAGCACCAATACACATTACTTTGGGCACACGCAATCCATCTTTGGGATAGACGGCTTAAAAAAGACAACACTCAAATCCGCGATTGTTATCCCTATCGTTCTCTACTTACATGTCACCACAGCTGAGCAAGACATTCTTCTCCCTATATACAATGAAATTTCTGGCTTGATACCAACAATTTTTTTTATTTAAACAGTTTATATGGCTCGCAAATGCCTCTAGCAGTATTTGACTTATATTGAATCATTCCTCTATCAAAAGCTTCCAACATGTTTCTACTTCCTTCAATGACTAATCGGTGCCAAAACAAATTTGATGGCGTGGCTATGGGGCACATGCAAAATACTTTCGAAAACGACATTGTTATTAAAATCATCCTCGGTTTCATATAACACCCTACAGTCTTTGACTCATGACAATTGGAACATGCAGTTTTCCATATACAAAAACATGTTAAACGTGTCTCGGAAGTGGCGAGCAATTATGGGCAATGATTGGAAATTCGGTCCTTTTCATTTGAATTCAGACATGAATCATTATTTGTCTTGTGTACTAGTTTTCTTTTATAGATTTCGTTTTTCACCATAGCAATTGACTAATATCCACCCCTTAACAAAAATATTATAGGCACGTGTAAAATGAAACATTTTTCTTTTCCTTTCCCATATTATTGACGCATGCGCAGGCGTGAAGTGTGGAACTAACTTGTTTGTGCTTTATTCTCTTCATTTTCAAGTTTTTTTTATAAGCAACACGAGACCTATCTATAAATTTTTAACCGTTTCCCACTATCACTTTCTAGTTGATTTATCATTAAATATGACTGACTGCAGTATAGATAACTCTTCACTACATACAACCGACTACAGAACTCGCTTCAATACAGTTTTCTACCTCAAACATATCTATTCAAATGTTCCCATGGATGCCGACGGAAAATTTCCAGCGCCTTTCTTTATTGAACATTGCACTCGAATCTTGCAAGATGAAAGAAACAGATTCGGTAATCGAAAAGCACTCGAGTTTGGCGGTGGACCAAGTCTATGGCCATCGTTTCTTCTGGCTCAATACGTCGATTCGATTCGATTTTGTGACTACGCCAAATCCAATCTCAACTCTGTTACTGATTGGATTGAACAGAAGCCGACCGCTTTTGATTGGACGAATTACTTCGAAAGCGTTCTTACAGTTACCAGAAGTCCAAAGGAAAAACGTCTAGAATGGGAATTCCGCCTTCGCGATGCTCTTTGCCGAGGAGGTTTATCGACATGTGATGTTAATGATCCCAACTGTCCAGTATTAAGTGGCAAAAGCAACGACTATGATATCATTTTTAGTAGTCTTTGCTTGGAAGCTGCTTGTTTAACGATTGAAATTTTCAATGAAACCATTCGAAGACTTGTTCGATTACTAAAGCCAGGTGGCCTTCTTCTAATCGTCATGGTTCGAAATGAATCATTTTATTACGTTGACAAAGAAAAATTCTTTTGCTTGCCATTGGATGAAGCAAATGTAGAAAATGCATTGCATGCAACTGGTGAACTTACGGATATTCATATTGTTAGCTTGGACAGGATAATCGATCATATGAAACGTCATACGGTGTCCGATTATAATGGGAAGATGGTAATACGTGCATATAAGTGTTCGGAACAAACAAATGAAACTGAACTAATTGTATAAAATGTGGAAAAGAATAAATGGTTTAGCTTTATTTGAGATAAATAAATACTGTTTCTTCTATAACATGAGGGTATTGATGAGCCAAATTACCGCTATTTGACTATGTATAGTGCATATTATTTAATTACTAATAACAAATAGTATCTATTTTTGGGAACAAGTTGAAAAGAAAGAGGTTTCATTATCTCTTCAACATTCGACAGAACTTTGAATTAAAGCATGCATCGATGAAGATAAGCGTTCCTAGAGTTACCTGTGAAGTACTATAACTGTATGTACCCATCCAGTTGACAAAACTCTGTTTTAATGTTGAAACTATGCTTCTTATCACATAGTTTAAACGGTGGCACACTGTCCAAAGCAACCGTTTTTCACAAAAAACGATGATACTAGGTGGGTAAAAATATTATTCCAGGGGGTAACGCTATGATTTCAAATAGCAATCATAAAATATTTCATACCAAATTAAAGCGCGTCAAAAAGGGTGTGGGCAAGGGGGAAAAGGCGGACTGTCAGGATTCCGAATCCCACAAAAATCTCGGGAATCCCAAGATTTCCATAAAAAATCCCAAAAATCCCAAGAATCCCATGAGAATCTTGGGAATCCCACGAGAATCCCTGGAATCCCATGAGAAATCCCAGAAATCCAGAAAATATAATTATATGCTGGACTAATAAAAGCATCAATCGAAGCAATTTACGAAACAAACTATACAGATAAGCTAGCTGCTGTGAAACAAGGACTTGCTGCCATACAAAGTATAATACAAATTCTTCTGAATTTCGTAATTCTCATCACCGAAGAGAACAAGTTGTAACATGTTGATTTATGACAAGAATCTGGTTTATCCTCTTGATATTACAAATTGCATGTATTATCTACATTGCATAAATAAAACAAAATGATGTATATAATTATCATGCTTAGATAATTTAGTAAGACACGTGCCCATGCCGCGAAAAAGTCTTGATTTAGGGACTTTTTTTAAAATCGGTGTATAAATCGCAACTTTTTCTGCTGGGCATCCATTTAAAGAACGAGAAAAAAATTGGCAATTTAGTTTTAACTAAATGGTGATTCAGCTCACGGTAAATCGCTGATTTGTCTCCTTTTTTACATGGATGCCCAGCAGAAAAAATCGCCAAAATCACGACGATTTTGGTGACATAGGTGCCTTCAGTCGAGACC